TTCGTATAGTTTGTGACATTTTAAGGAAAAGAAGTAAAGAAATTCATTTTAATTGATAATTAATTATTTAAATGTACGAAAACCAGTACAAGAACTAAGTACTGTAAAATAAAGATGTTCTCTGTCGCGCCTTCTAGCGATGCTATATTCAAATTTTCTGTGGAATTAAAATATATTTCATGCTTGTAACTTTTTCTTAAATCGAAAACAAAATCTGAGGTATTATATAACATAACTTTTGCTTCTCAAAAAATATATTTTTTGACCGTTAATTCACAAGTACAGTTTTTATTAAGAGGAAACTTAATTTTCGATATTGTATGTAGATTTTATTGGGTTACCGCATATTATATTTTTCATATATCAGAATTTTTACGCAATAAACTAATAATAAAATCAAATCAAGTAGTTCCCCTCGAGTTTTAAAAACAAAACTCATATCCTTTTTTCCTATTTTTGTAGAGCAGTTTATGCTTTTCATTTTGTATTTAATTATTGCTATGGTCCATGGTTTTGCTTATAAATTCAAACCCTCTTTTTCTTATTTTTTGGATAACTAATTTTGCGGTTGTTGGTGAGAGCGCGACGTATGCAACGTAGTATAAATATTTTTAAGTTCTAATTTATGAATAATAACAACAACGGTTTACTTGTTCTTTCATAAATATAAAAATTAGAATGTTTGCTCAGGCGCATCAGGCTATCAAACTCTGTCCAATTACCTGAATTCAGTGAGCACAGAATTTTTTTGTTTGGGTTTAACTGAAACCTGGTTTAAATCTGGTCTACAATCTTCGGAGCTGTTTCCTAACGCCTTCTACGTTTTTCGAAAAGATCGACCAGACGGTAATGGTGGTTTTTTAATTGGCCTAGTTGCTTTTGCATCTTATTTATTTGAATAAATACCTCCTGACGTTATTTATAATGCCGCTCATATGAGGATTGGTAATAAACGTTCATAGTTCCTGCATTTCCCCAAATATGAATATTTCCAGCAATAAGACACATGCCGCCCTTATTTGTGACGCTGCTGAAACTTCAAAATCGACTGATATGGCCATAAGGTTTGGAGGATTTTAGCGTATCACAATTTAATTAGTGCTATAATGCAGACTTCAACGGCTGATAAAGTTACCCCGTTTATCAATGAGATTTTTGATCGGAGTCTTCTTCAATGGAATCATATTGCTAAATGTAGTAAAAGAATTTCTTTGTGTCAATTTCTCTGAAATAATTGCAAGTCGCCGTCCTCCTTTCAGTTCGCATGAGTATCTGTGTCTGAATGAATTTTATCGTTTCAAGCAAACTGGCCGGTGAAATCGTTTCAACATTTTACATCTTACTTGATCAAATGCGGAATATGATTTCAGCAAAGTCAATATTTTGCTGTCTTGAGCTCATATTTCACACAATATGTTTGACTTTACGAATGGGAATATAGGAACCTTAACATTCTTCTTTTTTAATGCTATTTACGATTAAACTACAAATTACTTAAACACAACACAGCAAACTAGTTAAACAAAGAGATTAAGTACGGCAAATTAAGAACAAAAACTTTTTGAAACATAGGGGTTTGCGTATGATTATTTTAACTGCTCGCCTGCTAGGTGTAGACGTAATTATCCTAAAAACCATAGTTATCGCGAATACCTTTACATATACTAAAAGAAGGATCGCCTTATGTCTTGAATCCTCTTGCGACATTTAAACCTCGAACCGCTTTGCTTAATATTTCCAAGAAAATCTTTTTACCGCCCATATCGATTTAACTGATAATCATGAACTCTATTTCGACTTCTCATTTTTTCATTTCAGAAAACGACATATTACAAGCGTTAAGGTTCGTAAATTATAGTTGTGCGCTACGACCTAATGACGTTCCGTCACGTATGCTCAAATCATGCTCTGATGAACCATGCAGTTTTCTCGCATTGATTTTTACTCTTTCTAAGAAAACATTTGATTCCCCTTTGCGCCAAAGAAACTGCCGAAAAAACAGAAATCTACATTTTGGCGAGAACTACAGAGTCGTAGTGAATTTAATCTTTTGTCCAAATTTTTTGAGCAAGTTGTTACTCAATAGTTTGTTTTTGCTGTCAAGTCTTCTATTTCTTCATTTCAGCAAGGCTTTCTGAAAAGAAGATCAACCGGTACGAACGGTTTAAAAGCTTACTTGTGACGGTTTCAAGACTTTCTCTAATAGCTTTCGCTTGGAAGGCGCATACAAAACTTTTAGTAGTGTTTTGATCTAGCCAACCGTAAATAGTTGGTCTTTAAACTTCATACATAAGGTGCATAAGCTATTACTTTTATAGCAGTTTATTCAAAGTTCTGTTTAGCACCGTTACCGCTGATGAATTTTCCGTGACGTAAGATTTCCCTCGGCGGCCACTTAGGACTTTCTATACATTCTGCACATTTTGATCTCTCTTCGATGGTTAAGGCCAGCCATATCTTAGTACACTGGCGTTATTGCACAGTTTTGTATCTCACATTTGAATTTCACGTTTCTCCCCTTCAATCTGATTTCAATTAAATCCAAAGAGTGCAAGAAGCTTTTATCCTCAAGGAGGAATTCATTTAGTACTGAGTGTTTTATCGGGTCAGAAAGCTTCGAAAATACAAATTCAACCATTGATTTAGGGGTTTCATTTGAACGGTTACGGTTTAATCTGCTCATAAAAAAAAGCTAGGTCAGCGCTAGACTTTATTAAATGGTGGTGCAAAAAGCTTGACGACCCATACCAAACAAAACGGCTACACATAAGTCTGGTAAAATCAAATCTTGAATATGTGTCTATGATGTAGCTTCCGAGGTTTTCTGTGAATTCATCAGAGGCCCTTTAAATGGTCCACTTTTTTCTTCCTCTTCTTATAACAACAGCCTGCTTTTGTTAGACCTACCGTTGGTAACGTAGGGAAGAGATCTCCCCCAAGTTTCAATTAATTTTCATCAATTTGTTTTTATTCACTTTAATTGAAATGAAAACGAACCTTTTTTCATTTCAATTACATTCTATTGGAATGCCAATTTCAATTCCATTGCAAATTATAATTTGTCTTTCAATTCAATGAAATTCAGTTCAAGAAAATTTTATTGTATTAAATTCTATTTTATTTTCTTCTATTCTATTTTTTTCTACTATGAGGCTTTGAAGAAGTAATGAACAAAACAGCACTGTTTATTATTTATTATAGCGCAAAGCAAGATACATTTGTTCTTTATGGTTTGAATGGGTAAAAGTACAAAGAGCAGTTGAATTGAAAAGAAATTGTTTTTTTTTTTTTGTATAAGCATAGGTACAAACATCCTCCACTTGAAATAATGACTAAGTAATACACTCGCTTATAAGAAGTGAAAAAGCATCTAAACAGCAAGTTAATTTGAGCAAAAAAAAAAAACACGTCAGTTGCTTCAGCATCCGCTAGTGACAATGTAAGTGGAAAAGTTCGTTAAAAGAGTGATGGACGTGCGTAGTTTCCTTACCATAGAGTACCGGATAAATAGGAAGAATAATATTACGACGGCGATTCAATCATCGACCCATTTTCAAACTTCTTCAGCATTTCGAAACCGTGTCAGGCAAGACATGCTGTAGCACCGATCAGAACAGATGGTAATCAGAAAGCACTACGTCTGTTAAGTACGTTGGCTGCAGCAGAACATCCTATTCGAGTTGCTACAGTGTATCCTTGATCACTATTGCAACCTGTGGCCGAGCGTTGTCATGCAAAAAAATTACTTTGCTTCTGTTAAACCTTATTGCTGCTGTTTTTTGCAACAATATACATCGTTGAGTTTATTCAATTGATGTCAGCAGATGTCTGCATAACAGTTTCATTCACTTCTAGTGGCTCATAATACACCATACCTTGCTGACGGCACTATATGTGCAGCAAAAATGTGGCCATGAACATTCCTCTTCAGAGCCGATGTGGACGTCTCTTTTGGAATAATCCATTAATTTTTATTATTGGGGTTATGATAGTAGATCTACTTTTCATCGCCAGTCATAATACCCCACATAAATTTCTTATTTTTTGCATGGCTAGTAATAAAACCATGGTGTTGAAACTATTCGAAATGGCATTTACAGTCAATTCTTATCGTAGCCACTTTTTCTCCTTTCAGATTTCTCCTATCGCATGGAAACAACTTGAAACAGTTGATTCAAAAAGTGATAAGTTTTTCGAAAATTCGTTGAGTGGCGGATCTGGGTGTTCGTTTAATAAGTCTCGCAATTCATTACCTTCGAACCTTTTTGGTCCTCTAGGCCGCTTTTGTCACTAACATCAAAATTAACCAAAACCGAAAATTAGGATAAAAAGGAGCAGTATCACCATATGCTTGTGAAATTGTTCGATGGGCTTCGGCAGCAGTTTTCTCCAAATCAATCAATCAAAAGTAATGAATGTCGACAATGCAATTTTGAGCGTCCCACGACTGGCGTCTTTCTACAATGAATAGCTCAACAATACTAAATGGAAAATTGTTATTTTATGCAGAGGAATATCACATTCATCGAATTTCATCTCTGTGTACATTGATACTTCGCAGTGCTTTACAATTTTCTCCAACATATATCGCTGATTAAAATACATGTAAGCACACAATAATATGGAGTATTAAATAGTTCATTGTCAGCTAAAACTCGTTACATATTACTTATAAATTTCTGTGTACTTAATAAGTTTAAACTGTCAACCAACGACAGAGGCCAAATACTTAGCGGCCATGATTGCTTTCGTCCGTGCCTGCAACCATTTGGGCATGACCCTCAGGGCTTTTATACTCGATTCCTCAATACAAAGGAAACAAGTGAACTGCCCAAGATGTGTTGCCGGGAATTGCAAAATAGAAGACTTAACCAATGTAGTACTTACCTGTAGTTGCATATAGACTGACGCTCGTACATATAATACAAAGGTAGTCATCTTCTTTTTAATTTTATTCTAAATTGTTTGCCATCGTGCATAACCAATATAAACACTTACAAACATTTGCCTTTAAATATATTCTTACGAAGGGCCGAATAAACTGCAAATGTATGTGCAGTAGCCGCTGGCAAAGATTCAAAACTAGGAAAAACATAAAGAAAAATTTAAATAAGAAACATTATCCACAAATATAATAAGTACATAAAACTTCTACAAAGCATTCAGCCCTTTCATTCATAATATTCCCCTCCGTTTACACACGTTCGAACGTATATTTTTGTATTTGCGCACAGACATATATACGTATAAATAGCAAGTATGTAAACCTGAGACCGGAATTCGTCCTACCGTCAATGTAGTTACCATCAAACTGCGCAATTCGCGCCATTTTTTTGTTTTCTTTGCTGACATTTACAAAGATTTTCAACCCATGACAATAGAAGTTTTTAATATAATAGCATAGTTTGTAATACCGTTGAACATCTCGAGCTGCGTCCAAAAAAAAAACAAATTACGGTTTTTCTTCCTCCACTCGGATTAAAAAAGGATTTATTTCGAGAAAACAAACCGCAGAAATTCATGGTTAGATTCAGGCGATCCTTCCACATCTTTTGCAACACCGAATCGATGTAACAAGAAAACATCATTCTCTGCTTGGACCACAGCGATGTGATCTGTCAAAGTCTGGTGAAATGCTTGATATCAAATGCTAATAACAACAACTTATCAATATCAACGGTATTCAAAAAACGGTGAGAATAAGCAAAATCAGGGCAATTTTTTACATCGCATCTGTCCGTCTGTTCAAATTGCAAAATTAGTTCGCGAAGAGTTCGAGGCGCACTAGACTCGAGTCCTTCCGACTACTTCTTGTTTGCATCGATAGGTCAGGACTTATTAAGCAGTGCTTTGGTTCATACATAGATGTGAAAAAAACGCCTCGATGAACCATCCGTCGACGGGTGGAAAAAATATATAGGTAGTGTATTTGGTGTTTTTCATATAATAAATGCATATTTTGGCTATATAGAAATTCCGCGTTCATATTAACTTACCCGTATATGGTTAGGGGTTTTTTTTGCTGTGTCTTTCTTGTTGTCGTTTCTTCCTTTCTATACCCATGTTGGACTACCCATATTATGTGCACTAGTCGATATAGTAAAATAAATTTTTGCACATGACGAACGTTTTATCTTAGTAAAAGAAACTGCGTTGCGTTCATCCACAAAAAACTAATGCTACCTGAAAGAATGCACTGTTTTGTTTAGCCAATGGCAAGTAATGTCGTAACATGTTAGAAACACATAAGGAGGGGCTTGATGTAAACTTCTCCGCCGAAATGCTGCAAACACTCCCGTAAAAGGAAAATGTAAGTGTAGTGTAAAGCAAACAACGTTTGCAATAAACTTTAAACCTCGTAAGTGATACGCTTATGCAGATTTATTGGAAAATACGAATACGTGTGGTGAATCCAAGACAATACCGGGCAACAACGGATTTAAAAAATTTTGTGCTATAATGAAGTTGGCGGCAGAAAGAAAGGTACCGTATACAAAGTTTTCATTAACACATTAAAGAGCAAATCTTTCTCTTAACTAAGGTAAAATTTTTGCTTAATAAAAACACAGTGAATATCTAAAGGGCCAAAATAATTTATGCATACGGATATATACATATACATGTATCCATATATGTATCCATGCAGGAATTTTTTTCTTTCGTTATTGCAAAACTTTAACAATATAATGACCAATAAAGCAGATATGCAAGCAAGCGGCCGTGGTATTTGCTTTGAATAGTGGGCAGCAGTTACGTATAACACAACTTGCATTCTTTTAAAAAAGAAAAATAATGCAAAGAAAAGTACGTCAATTATGACAGATGGAGTTAATAGGATAGCAATGAGAAGAAAGGCTGGCAGGCAATTTTTAAAAGTTTAACAGTAACGTTCGGTTTTGCTAATTGTTGGTCCGCGACTCCATTTTTTATTGTGATGGTGGTATCTATGTATTATATAATTTTCATGCAGGTAATTTTGAAAAAATACAGGACACAAATAATTTGCTACTAAAGCATAGTACATTAGTTTCAATATGACAGAAAACATTGTTGAATTGCATTGCTTTTGTAAAACAACGGAAACCTCTCAAAAATGAAACGCTACTAGCAGCCTTATTTTAGTCAACGGCCATAACACTAGTGCTTGTGTTTACTTGCCTTCGTTTCTGTCACTTTATAGCAAATTTTGCAAGCAAAAGTGTCAACAAAACTGTGCAACATCAATGTTGCCATAAAAGAGCGTTGTTAATTTAGGAAAACCACAAAATGAACTTGAAAACAAGACCTAGTGCAATCGAACGTAGTGTGACCGTATATGAGGTTATTGAGTAAACCGAGGGCATCTCTACTTTTTAAAAGGTAGAAGAAATTGTTTTTTTTACTTATTAGACACTATCAAAATGGAAGAGATTGATCTTGCCTACTCAATATTATAGTGTATCACATTTTTAGTTTTTTGTCAAAAGCCCAGAAATAAACTTTGAAAACTTTGAAAAGTAGCGTAGCCAGTGTCAAACTTGGAATGCACCTTACCACGTCTGGGTTTCCGTCTGTCCAACTGTATGCCTCCCCAAGTGTGTCGCATTTGGACTAAACATACGCCCGTTTGCAACAGTTAAAATAATACTTCGAAACGCTTAAAAACATTTAAATAGGATCTAAAGCAGTCAAATGGCACGCCTACAACGCAGCAGACCCTTAGAACACCTTGGCTTTTTGCGTTTATCGCTCGTTATTGATATTACGCAGAGGGACCCGTCTGAAATTTTGGTGCACTGTAATGCAAGGTGGGCTTGGTCAGTTAATTCCGCGTTTGTGCAGGCACTACAGGGTCACCCATAAAATACACATGTAAGTTTTTGTAGTTTTGTGTGCTGGAGTTTGTGAATAATGAGCAAAAAATCAATTTTTTTATGTTTTAAAGGCGTAGGTGTTCTCAATTTGTGTTGCATTGTAATCGTGTCCTTCGACTGATCTGCCCTACTTTTGTCCATTTCATGCATGCATGAGCTTCCAACCCTCCAATGTTTTTCTCAAATTAAAAGCCGATAGTTTCATTTTTTCCAGGAGAATCTGTACCAAAGATTTAGAAAAAGAATCTCAGACGGACTTATGTATCGATTTTGATGCTGGTAAAGATGACATGTATATACTTTGTGAAATTTCTGCAGCTTCTTTCTGGGGGTTGCAAACGTTTCGACAAAATGAAGATATCCCGATTTTTCATCGTACGTCAAGTATTTATTCATTAGTGGTCGTCCTCTAAAATTAAGTATCTATGTCCACCCACTAAACCCACAGTTCATACCATCTACATAGGTTTAGGTTTACTAACAATTACAACGTCGTTCTCCCAGTAGAAAATGAAAACATTAAATTTAAAAAACAAAAAACGAATGAGGAAAGATTAAATTACATCTAATTAAATGTCGAGGTATTACATCAGAACTACTAACTAAACAATTCATCACCACGGAGCTGTTCAGGATCTCTCAATTCATGTATTTGATGATGAGCTAATCATTCACCAATTCCACTAAAACGCAATGACGAGTAAAATCAAGGGTTTTGAAAAATTATGGTTATATAGACAGCTGATATTCTATATAAATATACGCAAAACGATTAATGGCGACAGCCATGATGGTCACTTTTGTTTTTATTTTGGGAAAACAAGTTCTGTTTATGTGATGCATTTCCAGGTAAATTGGGATATGTTATGTCGATATTCATTTTTTTTCTTACGCTTAGTCGCTTTTTAAAAGAGCCGACAGAACCACGTAAAGTCAAATAATTTGATGTTAAGTAGTGATAGCTATTGTTTCGTAAACGGTAGCAACCAATCAATCTATCCATTTCATACAACAATAGCTTGTGTTTTCACAGCCTTCTAAAAATTTAGGTAGTGGGTGATTATAAAAGAAGCTCTTAATTCCATTTGTTTGCTAGATGGATTAAATTGTTAGTTGCTCTTTTTTTATATTTTTAAATTTATTGCTGTCACAATTCGTTCTAAATTTAGACTTTAATATTACACACCATAAAAGCATAACCGTACAGCTGCGTTTTATTTGTTTAATTTTTTTTTTGTTTTTTAAGGAGGCGAAATTGTAGAATCTTTTCTAATATTTTGTAACCAAAGTGCTGCACTTAATATATTTCTTCTTTTATATACCACCACCACCGACGGGCAGAATTTTGTCAAAACGTTCGGAATACCCAAAAGAAAACCTCCAAAGTCCAATAAAGTATCGTTACCAGATTCAAATTATGAATCGATATAAGTACACCCTTCTGTCTATCTGCCTTTTTGTCGGCGTAATGCCTGTGGTAAACATTCTCCTGGCCGCAAAAATAAAGTAATCGGCTTCAAATTTGACAAAATCATTAGAAGTTTCTGCCGGTAGGTTTCTGTTGAAAGTCAGAGAAATATCTAAAAATGTATTAATTCTGAAATAAACATGGTATATCCCATGATGTGACCGATTTGTTTTTTCTTAGCAATGCAATCAATTGAGTACGGACGGAAAGGACTTGGAAAATAAAATACGACAAGTTGAGTGTGTTAATTCCTAATTAAACATGGCAGATGTTACAACGTCGTGAATCAATTTTTTCTTAAAAACCACGTCGTCATTGGTGACAAATTAGACGACTTATAGAGTAGCAGTATGTTACGTGTGTTAATTTCATATTTAAAATAGTACACGTCACGATTTGGTGGATTAACATTTTTTTGAAAATTCCGTCGACGTGGGAGTCAAGTAAGACGGCTTTTAAGAGTAAAATACGACAAGCTAAGTATGTTAATTCTGCAATGAACATAACATTTCTCAATTTTTTTTTTTTGAAAAGTTCGGTTAGCTTGAGCAAAAATGCAATTTTTCTTAACGACGCATAAACAAACGACAGCGTATTCTGAAGTCCCAACCCAAATTCAAGGAAAATTTAAAAGAAAATAACGAATTATAACGATTCATAGAAACTGATCCCGATGTTATGCAGAAGTGGTCCTAGAATGAAATACCCAAAATGCTCAAAGCTATTGCAATACGTTGTAAGCATATATCTATAAATAAGTG